ACAAGTAAAATGGAAGGGGGGACTGGGAAGAAAAAAGACAATTTTACTCAATATTTAGACACTTTGGTATTTCTATACTCCAAATATAACTGATGTTTAACTCTGAAAATATCTCATGACAAATAAGGTAGTGTCAAATGAAGGCCGGACGTCCAAGAAAGTACCCACTTTCTTCCCAAAATGTCCATTTTCCAAAGTAAAACCCTAGACCTGGAAATTGAAATTTCCTAGATAAAATACAACACAAGGTCACAAAAGGTCCCCAGACAATGCTGGTAACACACAGCCTCCACATTTCTAGCAGCTAGACAAGCTGCCCCTTTTGAGGCAACCTGTGCAGCAGAAGCTGAACTATCCATGGCCTTCTTCCTGGAGGGTCCAAGCTGATAAAATCCACTTCTATGCACTTTAATGGAAGATGCCAGCTCAAGCATAACTTTTCAAAGCCCAAAGATTATACTCAGAATGGAATTAACATATCTGGCAGAGGGTGTTGTTCAGTGGTAGAGCACATGGCATGCATGCATGCATCACAAAACTGAGGCCTGGGTTCAATCCTCAGCACTGCAAAAAAAAAACTACCAAAAAAAGGGGGGGGAGGAGTAGGGGCTGGAGTTGTGGCTCAGTGGTAGAGCGCTTACCTAGCATGCATGAGGCACTGGGTTCGATCCTCAGCATCACATAAAAATAAATTAATAAAATATTGTGTCCATGTAGGTATTGTGTCCATCAACAACTAAAAATATTTTTTAAAAGGGGGGGAGGAGGAATTAATACATCAATAATGAACATTTCCCTCTGGTATATTTTCATCAAGCACTCTTAATCCAACAGACTTCAATTTACAAATATCTGCCTGCTGAACTGGATTTAAAAGCAGCAACCTCAGTCACTTCTGAGGTATAGAAAAGTTTATTTTTCTGACCAATAGGCGTCAGGTATGAATTATAAGGGCACTACATTAGAATACCCATTTCTACTCATTTTCTCCCCTTACCATTACCAAAACACAAACAAGAAACCCTTAAGAATAAACTTATGAGTCATTAAAAAGTTTATAGAAATTCAAACTTTACCATAAAATCTGTCAACTGTATTTGAGCACCTCTTGAGACAGATGGAAAAAATGGTAGAAAAGTGGGTCTTTACCTGTATTTGTATTTCATTTCTTTAAAAAAAAAAAAAAAACTTGACATGTAGCATGACTAAGAATCAAAACTTTTAAAACAGCATTTTGGTAGAGGGCTGCAGATATGGTTCAGTGGTACGTACTGTGCTTGTCTAGCATCCCCAAAATTCTGGTTCAATCCCGTAAGCACCCCCTTCCAAAAAGCATTTTGGTGTAGATTTTATAATTTACTCAAGAACATGCACATAATTTTTAAACAAACATGCATACAACTGAGTATACAAACACCTGAGAAAGCTTAGGTTCTAGGAATAAAACACATCATGATGAATACAATTTAAGACACAAGAGAGGATTTCATACAACAACCAATTATTTTAGGCAGCAAACCGATTAGGTTTCCTGGTTGTAGACAGTCCCCAAGAGAACTCCATATCAGTTTGGAATTACAGAACTGTCTTTCCAGGAAGCATTTTAAAGCCCAACTGCAGAGAATGAATATAAATTTTATCAGCACCTGTACCCCATTTTCAGTACAAGAGAAGAACTGGGCCAAATCCCAGTCCCTGACCTTAAGGACTGGGAACATAGCCACCATCTGGTGGGGTGGACTACATACAATGTTTCCCTTGACTCAAGATGGCAACAGAGTCACTGAGTCCCTGCCTCCCCCTACCCCACTAATGACACAGCCTTTCCTGGGGACCCAGCATGTTCCAACTCTGCTAGGCTACCTCCGATTTAGAGAACCCTGACACACAGTGACTTCATTCCCAGTGTCCTCTCCCAAGCAGCAAAGGGCTCAGGATAAGTTGCAACGGGTGGGGGCGAGTTAAAGGGCTACTGATGAGCAGCAGAAGTGGTGCCCTTAAAGCCACACATTTAACCCCCTCAAGTCTTCCCCTAAAATGCAAAAAGAACCTTTCTCACAACCTAAGCAGCCTTAAGCACCGACCCTGGGTGCCCGCGGGAGAAGAGCAGCCTGGAGGCGGGCTGTGCTCCTCGCCCAAGTCTCAAGAACCGAGGCGGGGTCTGGGTGACCGGGTGGCTGCGCAGCCCGCAGCGGCTCTACCTCTTCGCGCGACACCAGCACGCAGGTAGTGCGTGGCCAGCAGTTCCTGCGGCCCGACTGACCCACGAAGCACAGGATTAGCGGAAAAAACCCAAACTGTTTTTTTTTTTTTTTAAGAACCAAAAACGAGATTAGACAGTGGCAGCAAGCAAAACTCTTTATTCCGCTGAAAAACGCAACTGCCTCCTTTTAGGTTTTCAATTCATCCCGAGTTTTTAAACTAAAGATGACGCCTCTCTTGCAGGTTTGGAAGAGTCGTTTCCCGGGAAGATGCTTAAGGAAAGCAATCTCCTCTGTGAGCCTGCCTTCTGCCTGAAATGACAAACCAGGTATTCACAGAAGAAAAGAGTCGCCCAGGATTATTTAATGGAGCCAGTTGTCACAGAAAGCAACTCGGTAAAATAGCACATTTTAAAAACCGAGGTAGAAGTACATAGAGTAAAACCCATATATGCATTTAGGCGTTCAGTGGGTCTTCCCAATCCAGACAGGAGTCAGTCTATCCTTCAAATTGCCCTCAAGCTCCTTCCCAACCAGAGGCAGACTTTTAAAGGAACAATATTCTGAAACAGTTAACAATCACTTCCATCAAAAGGAAAAAGGAAGAATTTCAACAGCTTATAGGAACTTCACTGCCTGGTCGTGCTTGCTCTAACATTTTAGTCTTCGATTCTAGCTTATCACCTCTGGAACTCAAATTTTCTAGCACTGTAATTTCAAATGAAAAGTTTTCTTGTTTTAATGAAAAGCTAAAGACATGAAGTAGAATATCGCTCAAACTTGTTTCAAAAAATTGTATTTAGTTCAAAAACCTAATATCTAAATGCTTTCTAAAACTTCAACCTAGCACTGAACGTGTTTAAAAAGTGATTTTTAAAAGCATCCAGGTATCTCAAGGGGTGGAGAGGTTCACTTCTCTCTTCGAGCTCTCCCACACTGTTTGAGTTTTTTAAAGTTTATAGTTTTGTGATTTAAAAAGTGAATAAGCCTTTCACAAGTCTGGTAACACGGAGCGCCTACGGTACCCGCACAGCTAAAACACAGGTAGATCTCTAAGAATATAAATAAAAACTGACATTTAAACTCAACCTCCCTTCCAGGAGGGGAAATCTCGCGGCTTCAGGGCACCCAGTCCTCTGACTCCCCTCCCCCCCCCTCCGCCCTCCATTTGATCCTAATCTGCAAGTGAATTGGCTCCATCTTTCTGTTCCTGGGATTTTCTAAAAGTAATGAAAGAACGTACTAGAAACATTCACCCATGAATGTGAGAAAACTGTAAGAAAGTCCATTCAAAGCTTAAAGACGAAGCAATCCCTCCCGCCCCAAGCTCCACACCTAGAAGGAACCTTTTGAAATAGGGGTGCCCACAAGTAGATTAGAATTTCAACTTTTTCCAATAGGAGAAATCGGCTTAAGGCCATCGGGCAGTAGCTCCGCCCTCTTACCCAATAACAGGTTAGAGTGGGAAAGGCTGAGCGCGGTGCTTGGCTTGGAGGTGCTCAGTATCACCCAACCCACTCCAACTCCTGCAGGATTTTTAAAGCCTTTGCCATCTCCTGCTCTCCCGCGGAGGCAAGACTACACACCGAATCTCACAGGTCTACAGGTAGACAGCTTTAAGTTACCGACCCTTCAAGAGAGGCTGCGCCTCAAAATTTTTCGTCCCTTATCCCGTGAGTTAGGGCGAGTGGAAGGTGCTGCTCAAAACCAAAGTGAAAAGAAAGTGTCACACAGTGTCCACAACCCAAAGAGCGAAATCAAGCCCAAAAACCGCGGTGCAGCTCTCAGATGCTGCTCACCCCCAGGTTCAAGCCGCGTGTAGCTGCTCGGTTTCCCCCCCCCCAAAGGAAGCTGCGCCTGTGGCTGACCAGAGTGGGGATACCTTCTAACCAGGGAAACAGGTTCCCGAAGGGACATAACCTGGGGCGCTGCGTGAGAAGCCCAATAGCAAGAGTCTCAGCCGGGTAAAGGCAATGGACGAGGAGTTCGCCCAGATTCCGCCTCTATGTCGGGGTACGGTCCACAATGCCGAACGTTAATGCCACGTGAAAGCTCTGGGCAGACCACGCGTTTTGACACTACGTGAAACAGCTGCGGAGTAGATACGAGCTCAAGACCGGGGGGCCCTTTGGCCCTCAAAGATCCACAGACGTCCCTTACTTAACAAGAGGGAACAATTGCTTCTGTCCAAAAAACAACAAAACAAACCAACAACAAAAATAACAACAACAACAAAAAAAAACAGTCCTACCCCTCCATGCCCATGGAAAGCTGATCTATATAGCCACAAACACTCCACACACCAACTCATCCACACAACCACCCCTTCCCAGCTCACACCCTACTCAAAAGCAATAATCTACAAGTTTTACAAATAAAGAAAATTAAGGAGAGCCCTCTCAACGCTTTGGGAGGCCTCAGGCCGGCCCACACAAGGAATTCAAGGCTACACTCACACTACACACCTCTCTCTCCCACCTCATGTCTACGTTAATTACAGCGGTTGCCACGTTTCGCTACCGTGAAAATAGGGAATAGGGGAACCCACATTTTGGGACTCTCCGAAGGCCCCTCGCGGCAGGCATACAGAAGCCAGATCTTCGACACACTTTTTAGGTCGTGATCTCCTAGATACCAACCATTGCCACTATGCTCAAAGAAAAATGCAATATCTGGTTGAGGACCCACCTCTCCTCACTTTGACACAGGTCGGGAGGACCCTGTCCACAGGCGGTCACCGATACGCAAACACACACCAAACCCAGGCGCAGCCCACTCTCAGGCAGCCCCACGACTCACCTCGTCGTCGTGGTGCTGGCAGAAGCCGAGGCGCTCCGGGAACACCGAGAGAATGGAGAAGGGCGCACCAGGAAAAGGGGAGCCGAGCCCGAGTTGCTGCGCCGCGGCCGCGGCTGCGGGACCCGGCGGGCCGCGCTCAATATAGTGATCCTTGGTGAGACGCACGCGCTGATGCGCGCGGACGCAATTGTCGCACAGGTGCTCCTGGCAGTCGAGGCAGCGAGAAGAGGCCGCGTTGCCCTCATCGCACGAGCTACACCCATGCGGCCGGCGCAGCAGCAGTGCGGACGGGGAGGCTGTGGGGCCACCCGACGCTGAGCGAGAAGACGCGGGCGGCGGTGGCGCCTGCGGGAGCGGCGGCGCGGAGGCGGATGCGCGCGGGTGTGCGTGGTGCGCGTGGTGCCGGTGATTGCTGTGGCCGCCAGCGCCCGCTGGGGCGCCGGCGCGCCCGTTCTTGGGCGGCGGCTCTTCGGCGGTGGCCACCACGGCGTCAAGCAGGTTGCTGAGCAGGAAGGCGGACGAAGGCAGCGCGTCCATGCCAGCCGCTTCGGCTAATACTACTTTCTGGTCACACACGGGGCAGCGCAGCTTGAGCGGTTCTCCGGGTGCGCCACCGCCCGCCGCCGGCATCCGATGCGCCTCGAGGCAAGGGCGGCAGAAAGCGTGTAGGCAGGGTAGGACGTGCAAGCGGCGTGCCGCCGCCCCGGGCCCCCCTCCGCCGCCCCCAGACGACGTGGACGTCTGCGACGACGAGGACGACGCGGACGAGTTGGAGGAGAGCGGCGCCGGCGAGCCGCACATCTCCTTGCAAAGCAGGCAGATCTGGAAGTCGGACTCGGGGAACGAAGCCATTTGCAACCCGGCCCAGAGGAGGGAGGAGACCAGAGAGGAAGAGGAGGAGGAGGAGGAGAGCGCGGACGAGGTGGGTGGGGGAGCCACCGACTCACTCAGAAAAATGCATCGATTAGGCCTGAAATCCGGGAGCAGACACCAGAGCGACGCAGACCCCTTGGCCTCGCCACGTCCGGCCCGCGCGCTGCCAGCTCCAACACTGCGGGCATTAAATGCCACTAACCAGAGGTGACACAGATTCCTCCCGGAGGACGTGGGGGCCGCGTGCCTTCCGAAGCTGTAACGCCAGAACAAGCCCCGACACGCGAGGGGCAAGCAGGGGCTGGGAGGTCAGTGTACTCCCTGGAGCAGCTGGGGCTTCGCTTCGCGCTAACCAAGAGGAGTCCCCAAATTGAGAGTCCGCTGTGTAATCCTAGTCCTGGCGAGAGCAGAATTTGGTTCGACGAGTATTTGGTGTGTTGCTTTTCTTTAAACAGATTTTTTAGTCTCTTCTTGGTTAGGGAATGTGCCCCAAACTCGTAAAGGCGGGAGCAAAGCGTCGCCAAGCCGGTGTCCCCCCGCGCGACGCCGACCGCCCCACCGCATGACGCGGCGGCCGAGGGCTCCTGGGTGGCCCGGCGTACTGCGCTCGGGGCTTGCGCACCGCCAGGCGCAGCCTCTCTTGCAGGGCGGTCGGCCCCGGCGCAGCTGCACCTCGTGCGGGTCTGGCCACGGCCGCACGCGTGCAATACGCACGCGCGTTCCACGCGCTTCGAGTCTCCCGCGCGCCGGCCCAACCCGGCCGCTGCTATCCGCGCTAACACGCACGCGCGCCCCACGCGGCCCGGGGCCCTCGTGCCCCCGCCTAGCCCGGCCGGGCCTGGGCGCCTTCCGCGCGCTCCTTCCTCTCCGGCTTAGCCCCGCTGCAGCGCGGGGCCGCAGGTCCCCGCGGGCCGCACTGAATTATTCATCGGCAGGAAGATATTAGATGTACCCGCTGCCCGCTCTGCGCGGGCCGTCGTGCAATGCTATCCGAGCTCCGCGCGCGCCCCGCGCCCCTCCTCCTCCTCACGTCCGTCCTCTCTGAAACCTTGGCAGCGAAGGGGGATCACATTTCCTTTGTCATAGGGCCATTTCGCCCTCGCCCTGGTCCCCCCTCCGATCCCGAGCCTCGGGGACGGAGCCTCCTCCCGGGCGCGTTGGAATCAGTGGAACCGGCAACGGCCCTGCGCCGCAAGTTCAGAAGCCGCGTGGCCAACGCCGCCGGCTCCCGCCTGCGTCATCTTCTTTCTGAAAAGAGTCGCCGAACGGGACGCGGGTGGCCCGGCTGCGCTGCGCCTACCGGGGCTTGCTCTCGCCGTGCCCTAGCCTCCTGGGGCTTTGCACAACTCCCCCAATTCGGGCTGCGAGCGCGCGCACGCGCGCCCCCTCTTTCTCTGCTTTGCCGCCTCTTCCTCCTCCTCCTCCTCCTCTCAGTACGCCGGTTATTGGGACTGATCGGAATTCGGAATCCTTTTAATCTCCAAAGGAGCAAACTCACTTCCGCCCGAGTGCTGGGAGGGGGCTGGGGGAGGGGAGACAGGGGAGGGGGTTCCAGGCAAACAGGAAACATTAGCCCTCTCGGCACGGCCCGCTTTTGTGTGCTCCCTCCCTCCTCCCGTCAACCTCCTCCCTTCTCTAGGCCGCTGGGGAGATGAACGCCCCCGGGCTTCAGTGTGACGACCTTTGAAACCTTCAGAGCGAGGAGCTGAGAGCGACTCTTCCGTTTATTTAAAAAAGAAAAGAAAAGACTTCATTCTGAATCCCTGCCTCAACAGAGGCTGATATCCACTCTCCTGGGGATCTGGGTTTTCCCCCTACCTTTTTTTCTCTTTCCCTTGTCTTAAGGACTCTATATCTGCCATCAATACCAAAACATCATATGTTGGATGCGTGGAATTAAACGAATCTGAATTCTGATTTTGAGTTTTGATGGGGGAGGGGACAGCTGTTCAGGGGAGGCGACCCAGCGGCCCCATGGCCATCTGGGTGGTGCCCAAGACTGGGCGGTTCTAAGAGAGGAACTTGCGTGGCCCTAGAAGAAGCCTGACGTGGAAGGGCCAACAGGGCCACTTACCAGGATTTAGGGAGTTTCTGGCCCACAGACCAACAAGCAGAACAATTGTCCCCGTCTTCACACTGTCTCACTGTTAGTGGTATCTTGGTCCTATTTAAACTGGCCCAGGCAAACAGTCTAGATGAATTTCAAAACATCATGTTGGGAGAATAAAGCCAAACACAAAAGAGTTCATACTCCATGATTTCACTTACAGAAAAATTCTAAAACAAGCAAAACTGAACTATGGGGATAGGAAAGGTACCCTTGGGGATGACGCCTGACTGACTGGAAAAGGTTATATGAAGGTATCCTCTGGGGAAATGAAGTAAAAATATATCAGTGTATTCACTTATTCTGACTTAAAAATGCTATTTAAGCTCTGCAAAATTTCACTGTAAGTTATATCTCAAAACAATTTTTTAATATATATATTTATTTATTTTAGCTTTCAGCGGACACAACATCTTTCTTTGTATGTGGTGCTGAGGATCGAACCCGGGCTGCACTCATGCCAGGCGAGCACGCTACCACTTGAGCCACATCCCCAGCCCCCTCAAAACAATTTTTTTTTAAATTTTGGTTTCCAATTTGAATCACTATACCTGCATCATAATGATAGGGTAGAAATACCTATCTCCCATTTTGTCATCAGAATCTAGGGATAGAAAATCTGGAAAGAACCCTTAAATCAACCCAACTGGATAAATGTGCTGAAAAGACAGAGCCATGGGAGGACTCTAGGTGCTGAGGATAAAGAACTTCTGGCTGCAAAGAGTCTGGCAACCCCTCTATGAAGATTCAAGTCCTCCTCCATTGCTCTCAAGATCACCGGCCTCACCGCCCAGAGCAAAGCAAACATCAGTCCCGTCTACAGTAACCTGTGAACAGTGAAACTGTTGACAGTAAAGCCAAAATAGCCTTCTCTATCAAATTAAGAAAACTTTAATTTATTATTTTTAATATTTTTTTAATTGTCAATGGACCTTTATTTTATTTATATGTGGTGTTGAGATTCCAACCCAGTGCCTCATACATGCTAGGTAAGCCCTCTGCCACTGAGCCACAATCCCAGCCCCAAATTTTTAAAATTTAAAATTAGGGACTGGAGAGCTGAGTTTAGTGCCACACATCTAATCCCAACTGCTTGGGAGGCTGAGGCAGGAGGACTGAAAATTCCAGGCCAGCATGAGCAATTTGGCAAGACCATGTCTCAAAAATTAAAAAATTTGGGACTGGATTTATGGTTCAGTGGTAGGGCACTCTCCTAGCACATGTGAGGCCCTGGGTTCTATTCTCAGCATAAATAAATAAAGGTATCATGTCCATCTGCAACTAAAAAAGAAAAAAATAATAATTTTAAAAAGGAAGAGTGCTTGCCTAGCATGAGACACTGGGTTCAATTCTCAGCACCATAAGCAAATAAATAAAATAAAAGTCCATCAACAACTAAAAACTATTGGAGGGGAAAAAAAGAACAAGATATAGCTCAGTGTTAGAGTGCCCCTAGTTATAATCCCCAGGACTAAGAAGTAAATAAACATAAATTAGAGGTTGGAGGTATATCTCAGTGATCAAGCGCCTTCAAATGAGAGTCCCTATACTCAATCCTTAGCACCAAAAATAATTTTAAAAATAAATAAGAGGAGCCCAACACCATGGCTCATGTCTATAATTCTAACAACTGGAAGCCAACCTTAGCCAACTAGAGAGATCCTCAGCAATTTAGTAAGACCCTATCTCAAAATGAAAAATAAGGACTGCAGATGTAGCTTGGTAGTAAAGTGCCCTCAGGTTCAATCCCTAGTACAAAAAAAAAAAAAAAATCTCATGCCATCATCTATTGCCAATAGAAGTTTCTTTCATAGTAATTTGAGACCTATGTGTGAACAAGTAAATCTATGCACACCTATAATTTTCTACTATACTAGCTTTACTCCAGAGTTTTTTATGTATTTTTTTTATTTTGTTTCTTTTCCATTTTTCCCCTTGTTTTTATTTTTTTCTTTAAAACAAGAAGAAAACAGATGGGGGGAGAGAATTGCCAGAAGGAAGATGGCCCCAGAGGGTCAGCAGAGAGATGGACCAGACTCGATGCCTCCTTCTTGGCTTGGCCCCACCCACCACCAAAAAAAAATTTAAAAAAAGAAAGAAAGAAGATGACACAGAGAGAGAGAAAAAAAAAAAAAAACTAACAGTCTTCCTGATACTAAGACTCAAAATGTCTTGATAGCAGAGGTGAAATGTCAGCAGAGCCATCAAGGAGGAGCAGGAAGGCTGTAACTCCAGAAAGAAGAATCAAACTTGACAGCTGTTGGTGGGCTGGTGTCCTGGGGACAATTGCTCAGAATAAACCAAGAAGAAGAGAGAGAGAGAGAGAGAGACTGCTGGGGTGGTTTGATTTCTCTTCATGAAGTAGTTTCCCTTCTCTGCTTTCTAGAATTAACATATTAACAGAAAGCAAATGTGCAGTGTAAATTGTTAAATTAGCACATTCCTAATTTCAGTGAAGACTTGATTTTACCACAGATAGGAAAAAGGAAAATCTTTAAATCATCAAATTTAACTCCAATTTTATGGAAATACAGTTATTGTGATTTTGTTGTTGTTTTGTTTTGGGGACCAAGGATTGAGCTCAGAGGCACTCAACCACGGAGCCACATAACCAGTGTCCCACCTTTTTTAAAATTTTATTTTATTTAGAGAGGATCTCACTGAGTTGCTTAGCACCTCACTGTTGCTGAGACTGGCTTTGAACTCGCTGTCCTCCTGTCTTAGCCTCCTAAGCCACTGGGACTAAACACAAGTGTGCACCACCATGCCCGGCTATCATGATCTTTTTGAATGTGGTATAATGGTAGGTAAATAATAAATCAGTATTAGAACCTAATAAGGTTTAGCTTATCCCTGAGAAGAGGCAGATCTTCAGATCTATGCATCCAGAGGAAAGGATGTATAGTTCCCTTCTGCTGTAAACTACATTGTATTAAATTTTTCATTACCTTCCTAGCCAATAAACAGTCAAGATAGGAACAAGCAGCCTCCCAGTTTTCCCTTCGCTAGTTTTCATTAGAAAGTGGGTCCTATATACCTTCCTGAATCCTGAAAATAAATCACCTTGAATTTTAGTAAGTAACCACTTTTTAAAGGAAGTCAGTCCTGAAATTACATAAGCAACAAATTTGCATTCTTTCCCCAATGCATCTGTAATTTTTTTTTCTTTTTTTTTGGTTTTCCAAGATGACACCAGAGCCAGCCCCTGAAATCCTTTCAGACAATGGGTTGCAGATTCGGCTATGTTTCCATCAGAGTAACTTGAATCAGCTTTTTCATCATCTGATTGTTTAATTGAATATGTGATGTATTTGCTTTTTTATTCTATTTTTTTTAGGGGTTCTGTGGATTGAACCCAGGCCACCGTAGGCAAGCACTCTACCACTGAGTCACATCCTCATCCCCACCTGCTTATTTTAATATCAGAATTGTACCTTTCAGCCGGGTGTGGTGGCACACACCTGTAATCCCAGTGGCTCTGGAGGCTGAGACAGGAGGATCACCAGTTTAAAAGCAGCCTCAGCAAAAGTGAGGTGCTAAGCAACTCAGTGAAACTCTGTCTCTAAATAAAATATAAAATAGGGCTGGGGATGTGGCTCAGTGGCTGAGTACCCCTGAGCTCAGTACCCCTCCCTCCAAAAAAAATTGTCATTGTCTTTCTTGTCTTCCTCAGTTTACATTCGAATAATTTCTTTTTCAAAAAAGAGTGAGAGAGAGAATGTTTTAATATTTATTTTTTAGTTTTCGGCGGGCACAACATTTTCGTTTATATGTGGTGCTGAGGATCGAACCCGGGCCGCACGCATGCCAGGAGAGGGCACTACCACTTGAGCCAAATCTCCAGCCCAACAGTCAAATAATTTCTAAATGCATAAGTCCACCAGAGTGCATGTGTTTTTTTGGGGGGTGGTACCGGGACTGAACTCAGAGCCCCAAACCACTGAGCCACCTCCTCACCCCTGGTTTGTATTTTATTTAGAGATAGGGTCTTACTAAATTGCTTAGCACCTTGCTTTTGCTGAGGCTGGCCATGAACTAGCAGTTCTGTCTCAGCCTCTCCAGCCGCTGAACGCACCACTTCACCCAGCTAGAGTGCACATTTTTTAAATAAACATTACGTCATAGTTACTTTTAATTTTTTTTAGTACCAGGGATTGAACCCAGGGGCACTTAACCACTGAGCACTAAACTACATCCCCAGCCCTTCTTTGTATTTTATTTAGAGACAGGGTCTCCACTGATTTGCTTAGGGTCATACTAAGTTGCTGAGGCTGGCTTTGAACTCTCAATCTTCCTGCCTCATCCTCCTGATCCCCTGGGATTATAGGTCTGTGCCTCTGTGCCCAGCTCATAATTACTATTTTGAACGATGATGGGGGGGTACCAGTCAAATGGTGGCCTATTGAATCATTGCCTGCCTCCTGTCAGTTGAGGGGA